CCAGCTGGCTGGGGAATTCTAGGAGTTGAAGTCCACTCATCTTAAAGTGGCCAAGTTTGGACAACACTGCCCAAACAGGATCATCTTCTAACTTTCTTTTCTTTGAAATAACTTCATTAGATTTTTAAAACAAAGAGATTAAAAACTAACAAGAACCAATAATTAAAATAGAAAGTCAAAAAGAGAGAAAGGTAAAGAATGAAAAAGAAAACAAGACCAAAAGTGCAGAAAGAAAAAGAAATACAAAAGAAAAACAACTTCCAACTTTCTTTTACAACAGATATACGTATAAAGTTGCTTTAAACTCTGACTCTAAGTTTACAACGTCAGTTTCATTTTTTCTATTGTCTACTATCATTTCTAATAGTCAAATCCATATATCATTATTTCATTTTTTTCTGTTTCAGGCAAAATCTCCAAAAGGGGTTTTCAATCAGCATTAAAATTTATCAGTGTCTTTTTTCTAATCAAAGCTGTCAGTTTTGCCATCTCAGCCAGGTCCGTCAATTTCACCATCCATTCTTCCACCCTAGGTAATGTCACACCTTTCCACCCAATCACCTTCTTACTTCCATGGCTTCGCGCTTGTAAATATAATAGATGCTCTTCCCTCATACAGCAAACTCAGATGCAGAGTGCCAGTAAAATTAAAAGGAGGTGTTTGGACAGAACCCTCTCAAGGCTTACAAATGTACAGGTAGTCCTCACTTAACAACTACAAGAGGGACCGGAAAATTCATTGTTAAGTGGAGCGGTTGTTAAGCGAGTCGTGCCTGATTTTACCACCTTTTTTGCAACAATCATTAAGCAGATCACCACGGCTGTTAAGCGAATCACGTGATTCCCCATTGATTTTGCTTGCTGGAAGCCAGCTGGGAAGGTTGCAAATGGTGATCATGTGACCCCAAGACACTGCAACCGTCATAAGTGCAAGCTGGTTGCCAAGTGCCTGGATCACAATCACGTGACCATGGGGGTGCTGCAACAGTTGTAAATGCGAGGACCGGTTGTAAGTCCCTTTGTTCAGCACCGTTGTAACTTTGAACAGTCACTAAACTAATGGTCATTAAGTGAGGACTACCTGTACAAAAAACATTTTGTAAAGAAACGCTCCAAGGGAACCACTTACTTGATCGCTCCTGGCCACTCCATAGCGCAGTTCAGTGACAAAGTGTTCACAATTCTCGCTGGTGACTTTATACTCAAGCTCCTGGCCCACCTTCTCTTCTGCCAACTGGATAATCTTGTTAGTGGGCAGTGGGGCATACTTGGAATCATGCTTGTTGTTGACCCGGTAGCGATCATTCCCCACCACATCCAAGAGCAGTTCCTTCTTCACCAAGGCCTTGTTGGTGAGGGTGGACATGAGGCTGGCACAGCCTGCTCCAGCAGTTTCACCTTCAGGATGGAAAGAAAGTGCATGAGGGTCATCTGTGTATCAAAAGAAGGGTATCCTGCGGCCTGCCAACTGGGGAGGGTGGAAATCAGGGTTCTTGAGAGTTAATGCCATCAAATTAATGTATAAATTAAAGAGGAGGTGCCAAGATGCATCCTTGATGGACCTCTCTCTCTATGGCTATTCTGTCCAAGAATATGTGGGGAGCAACTTATTTCTAGAACGTTGTTGGAAATCCAGTTTTGAAGCAAAAAAAAAAAAAAAGGAGTTGCTTATCAAAACAAGTACATGATCAAGTAAGTAAGCATGAGGGTTGGAGGAAACCTGGTGAGAAAGGGTTGAGGTGCAAAAATTTCACCACCACTCCCCTTGCAACCTAGAGCTTGGGGGACCAGTAAAAAGTAGGTGGGTCCTTGCAGAACATGGACCCTGCTTTCACTCAGTGCTGCTCAGATGAGTCTTGCAAGGGGTATGGCTTCTCAGTGTCCTTCCAGAGAACAGGAACATACAAATACATAGACACTGTTCTCTGGAAGGAGAATATATTAATGCCATCTAGCAGGATAGCTCCTAAAGGCTGCCTAACCTACAGTTGTCTGTCGGTTCAGTTTTAGTCCTACTATTGATCCACAGAATTCCAGGAATTGCTTCCCACTATAGACCTGGGGCAAATGGATCAGCTAGTTTTAGGGTGATGGTCTTTCCCAAACGTCCCCATTCCACAGACAGGGCTAAATGGCCCACTGCTCATTTCTGTTTCCTCCCCAAAGAAATTGTCTTCACCTTCCTCAAATTAAAACTGTCCAAGGTGCAGCATAATTCCTTTGGGGGCATTAAAGTCTCACCGGGCTGTCGTAAAACACAGAATGCTTTCCACATAAAAATTCGGCCCTCCAGACATTAAGAGCTGTTCAGGGGATCAATGTCATCCCTGCGATGGAAGGGTGATTTTCGGGTTAATTTGAAGAAGGCAGCAGATGGTCCCGGAATTGTCCTTCACTAGTTGCTGAGCAGATAATTAAGTTGCAAACTGTGTTCAAATCGCCTTCCCTTTGTGTATCGTGCCCCATATCCGCTAGCTCAGGGTTTCTCAACCTTGGCGACTTTCAGATGGGTGGACTTCAACTCAAGGCTGGCTGGGGGATTCTGGGAGTTGAAGTCCACCCATCTGAAAGTCGCCAAGGTTGAGAAACCCTGAGCTAGCGGATATGGGGCACGATACACAAAGGGAAGGCGATTTGAACACAGTTTGCAACTTAATTATCTGCTCAGCAACTAGTGAAGGACAATTCCGGGACCATCTGCTGCCTTCTTCAAATTAACCCGAAAATCACCCTTCCATCGCAGGGATGACATTGATCCCCTG